TCCGAAACCATAGAGATATATATATCATCAACGAGAACCAAGGTTTAAGTACATGAACTCTAAAAAACTGAAAACTGAGAGGACACGCAAACAATGCGGCCTAGAACCTCAACAAAAACAAATTAGCCAACAAGAAACACAAAGATCTTCCACTGCTAGAAGCCTAGAAGATCACAAGAGAAACAAAAACAGAAATCAACCTGAATAAGGGAGCCAAAAAAATAGAGCAAACCAAAAACTACAAATTGGTAAAATCCAGCCACTCTCTGTGTGCAATTTTGATGAGCACCTGAGGCGGCATAGAGGTATTTTGGAAGATACAAAGGTTACGAGACCTCCATAGCCACCAGAGTATATAGGTCGAGAGTTGGATTCTCTGAACAGCTATATCAGATTTTCCAATGGAGGAAACTTGAGCCCACCAACATCTGAAGGAAGAAGTGGAAGTCTGCAAACCATCCCAGGAAACAGGGGATAGATCCCAAGTTCTTGAAGCCTTTGGGCAGTGAAACAGGATGTGCTCTATGGTCTCAGGAGCCTGGCCACAGCCATCACAAATGACATCTAATGTGAGTCCTCTGCTCCTTAAGTTCACCTTGACAGCTAAAGACCCAGTAAGACACTTCCAGATGAAGTGTTTGATTTTTCCAAGCACCTTGAGTTTCCAGCAGGTATCAAAGGGAGAAGGAATGGATCTTGAAGAGTTGCTACTGCAAGGAATATCCAAAAAGCAAGGCATTTCAGAGAGGTCAGGAATGCATAAGTGCTGGATACAGAAAAAACTCCTTTCTTGTCTAGAGCCCAATAGATTTTGTCCTCTTTGTCAGGTTGTAGAGTTTTTATGTTCAAAATTGCATTTCTGTCAGTCTGATCAAACAGATGAGAGACCAACCAAGTGTTCCAACCTGTACCAGAGTCATTCAGCAGCTCTTTCACCCAAATAATATGTCCTCTTGCAATGTCAGGTATAGAAGGACAGGGTTTAGAGAGGTGAGGAACCCAGTTTACATCTGCAAGCCTAGTGGTGGCCCCATTTCTCACCTCTACAGCAAACCCTTTGGCAAATATAGGAAGGATTTCTAGCCAACTGGACCAAAGCCATGAACAATTGTGAGATTTAGTAGCCTCAAAGATAGAGCTGTGAGGGAAATACCTCTCTTTCAAGATTCTGCTGACTAATAGGGATGGTTGAGTGGTGATCCTCCAGAGTTGCTTGCATATAAGGGCAGCATTGAAGTTCTTGATGTCCTGAAAGCCTAGCCCCCCTTTAGATTTAGGCAGTGAGAGAGAGTTCCAAGATTTCCAGTGTAGTCCACGAGCCTGATCCTTACCTTTGCTCCACCAGAAATGGGAGCAAAGTTTACAGATTTCAGAGATTGTGGATGAGGGGAGTCTAAAACAAGACATAGTAAAGGTTGGAAGATCTTGGAGAACTGCTTTAATTAAGACTTCTTTGCCAGCAGGGGAGAGAAGCTTGGATTTCCAGCTTTGAAGCCTTGATTTCACAGAGTCAATGACATATTGGAATGCTTCAATTTTGGACTTTTCAATTCCCAAAGGGAGTCTTAAATACCTTGTTGATCTGTGAGTGGCAATTCCATGGAGTGTACTGCATATCCTCACTTGAAGATTTGGGGGAGTGCTCTTACTAAAGAAGATTGCAGATTTCTGGAGGTTGACAGTTTGCCTAGTAAATAATTTATATTTCTCCAGCAGATTCAAAATATGAGAGGCTTGAGCAGCATTGGCTTTGCAGAAGAATAGTGAGTCGTCTGCAAACAACAAATGTGACAAAGAAGGGCCATTTTTTGAAAGTTTCATGCCTATCAAATGTCCAGAGTTAATAGAGTCAGAGACAAGAGCAGATAGAAGTTCAGAAACAATAATGAATAGATAAGGGGACAAAGGTAGGGGTGCACAAACTATGGTTAACCGACCGAAACCGACCGAAACCGAAAATTCGGTTTCGACCGAAACCGAAACCGTTAAATCGGTTCGGTTTTCGGTTACTATTTTTTCAATATTTCGGTTTTCGGTTCGGTTTGGCTATAACCTGTCGGTTAACCGAACCGAACCGAAAACCGATAATAATACATACAATTAATGAAGCCCCCAATATAATGATGTATTACGCAGGCCCAAAGCTGCTAACAGGCCTCCCACCACAAAATAAAGCAGGCCCAATTTAATGATCTATCAATTATCACTCATCTTCCATCGACCCATATACCCAATTTGTCAACAGAATCGTTCTCGTCTCACAGTCTCTCATCCTCCACGAAAACCCTACCTAGCATCTTCTCCGCCCGTCCGCCGCGACGCACACAATCACCCACTCCATCTCTGACTACGGCGCTCTGAAGTCCGATTTTCCCAAATCGCCGCGCTCTGAGTACTTAAATCCTAAATCGCCTCGCCGGTCCCTCCTGCTCCCGCACACACTCCACCCAGCAGGCTGTCACTCGACGACGACGCTCGTCTTCTCGCCACCCAAATCCCCTCGTAAGGGCTACAACTCAGGTTCGTAATTTTCTTTTATGACTTTGAATCTCTCGTTCTTCTTGCAAGTTTTAACTCGTGAGTCTTGATTCATTGTATTGATTGTACCCCACCAATTCAAGCTCATTTTTTTTTTTTTTTCTGGGTTACTTTTTATGCCTATGATTGAGCTGCACGGTTGTAGTTTTTGGGTTTCCAAATTGTTAACATGATGAACCAGTTACTAACCTATTTTCTGTACTGACCAATTTGCTTCGGTTACCACCCAAATCCCCTTGTTGACATAAATTATTGTCCAATTCGTTTGATTAATGAGTTAGGCCAGCATCATTTAAAATACGAGTCCTCTGAAAAGTATCTTAAGCTTGATAAGCAAAATAATTATGAAATGGATACTAAAGTTTACAAAGGAAAAAATAAATAAATAAATAAATATAGTAAATAACCATACTGCAGATGATTTTTTTTGAATGATAATGACTACAGTTTTAGTTCTTTCTGCACAGAGTTAAGTGACAAAATGCACTAGATTGCAAAATTGGTGGTGTGAGGCTGTGAGCTCTTTGCAAAAAAATGTAAATAAGTGTCTCATAATGACAAAGGTAACTAGGGGGGCCATTCTGAATGCATTATGGAGAGGGCCTCGTAGTATTATGATTGATGCAATCTACTGAGAAGATTTGACACAAAAAATAATGAAGCAATAAACAGAAATCGATATTTTGCTTCCTTTTATTAAGTCCTTTTCTACCTTGAGTCCTCATAGTAGCTTCTCTTGTTTTGTAGTCTTTGAATTTAGTACTTTTATATCAAGTTAGGTGTATTTTAGTGAGATATCAAAGGCTTGAAATGAATAAATCAAGCCAGTTGATTAAGTAATCTTCTCACATGTATTTATTAGCAAATATCCAATGCATGCTACTTCTACTATTTCTCTTAAATTATCTTGAATGTGAAATTTAATTATGAAATTAACTTGAATGTGGAATTCTATTATGCTGTGGATACTGATTAGTTGCATAATTATTCATATTTTAGGTACAAAACGCAAAAGAGGCGGTTTCGGTCCTTCGGGATGTTCGAGAACTTCGAGTTACTCCACTACTGACAATGCTAAGAGCAAAAGGAATGAAGATTGAAAGATGTCGATGACTAATCTACAATGTTTCTTTTATATATTTTGGTCTTTTGGTTGCTAGCAGACTTTGAGAAGTTTGTAATGTGGACTCTGTTTATTATTATTGCTATTGGGAGTGACCAAGACTTGTTATTTTTATCATGTAAAAGACTTGATAAACTTGTATTTTGGGACAAGTTTTTTTTTTAGTTTGTTTTGGTAAAATTATTTAGTTTTTTTCTATTTGTAAATTTTATTTTAGTCATTTTTTCATTTTACCGGATAACCGATAACCGAACCGAAAAAACCGATAAATTTTCGGTTTTTAACCGAACCGAACCGTAATTTTCGGTTCGGTTTTCGGTTTTAATACTGGACAAACCGAAAATTCGGTTAACCGAATTTTCGGTCGGTTCGGTTCGGTTTTGACCGAATGTGCAGCCCTAGACAAAGGGTCCCCTTCTCTAATTCCTCTGGATGGGTGCACAAATCCACTCACAGTCCCATTAATTTTGAATGAGTAAGAGCAAGAAGTGATGCAGATCATGATAAGATTAACAAATTCCTTGCAGAAGCCCATCTGAGACATAATCTTCTTGATGCTAAGCCATTCCACTCGGTCAAAGGCTTTAACCAAGTCAAGTTTCAGAGCCATGAAATGATTTTTACCTGAGGTGTGTCTGTTTAAAAAGTGGAAAGCCTCCTGAGCGATTATGACATTGTCCATCAGTTGTCTCCCATTGATAAAGGCAGA